CCGAAGTCGTCAGCAGACGCTTCGTGTGAAATTGCTTTCGGGAAGCGGGACGACAACTCACGAAACGCTTCCTTTATGCGCTCGTTGTCGTCATTTTCACTGGTTTCCGCAAGTTCTGTTATCTCGAAGCCTACCTTGCGGAAGTAGTTGACCACTGTGTCCGTCTTCATGTCTCGCAAGGCACTGAAGATCTCCGCTGGAGAAAAACTTTGCGGAGATGTCCAGCCACTCTTCTTCAGCCACTGCTGGATGATTCACTTAAAAAACAGCGCCAATAACAAGGGACAAGAGAAAGAAGGAGACAGACAGCGGCACTGACTTACAACAAGAATTTATTTGCCAGAACCGCACAATATATACTTGGGCAGCATCTGACAAAAAAGAGAAATACAAAACAAACAAAACACGTACAAAGGATAAGGGACGGGAGAAACGAAACTTCGTCGTTATTCCCTATATCCACGGCGTCACCCACAATCTCAAAAAAGTGGCCAGCAGGTGCGACGTTGACCTGGTTTTTTCTGCCCCAGAAACACTGGCTAGGTTGTGCAGGGCCGTGAATCCTGGTTCAAGGGGTGAGCGAGGCTGCAATATCAAGCATCGGAAGAAGTACGTTCCATGCATTGAAGGGGTGGTGTACTCTCTACCCCTGTCCTGCGGAAAGTGGTACATCGGCCAAACAGGCAGGTGTTTAAATGAGCGGCTGAAAGAGCACGCTTACAACGTCTCCTCTACAGTTTCGGGCCATCTCGGCATTCATTGCCGGGACTGCGGTTGTGTCCCTGATTTTCAGCTTTGTACTGTCATTAGGCGTCTTCGGGACCAGAGGATACGTGAAATTTACGAGGCTTCAGAAATAGAAAGGCTGGGCAGTGCATGTGTCAGCAGGCCTTCGATTGGGCTATCACTAAAAGAAATAGATTTCCTTCGGAACGTTAGCACAAGTGTTGTTCATGGTGCATTGTGTAGATGACCACGTGGTTGTTAGGTGGATTCTGTTTTGTTTGTTTTGTATTTCTCTTTTTTGTCAGATGCTGCCCAAGTATATATTGTGCGGTTCTGGCAAATAAATTCTTGTTGTAAGTCAGTGCCGCTGTCTGTCTCCTTCTTTCTCTTGTCCCTTGTTATTGGCGCTGTTTTTTAAGTGAATCATGTCATACCAACTCGCCCAAGCAACCACGTTAGCCACTGCTGGATGTCTTAGCTGCTGACAGCTTCGCTTTCGCCAGAATTGGTTTTGCCCACAATGTTGTTGCGCTGCTTAAATCGGTGAAGCCATTCGCTTTTCGGCAAAGTTGTTTCACCGAGTGCAGCGGCAAACCATTTGGCCATGGCAATCAGCATCGGGCCATCTATCGGAATGTTCTTCGCGCACACTTCTCAGAACCAGGCATAAAGTGCCTTTTCTACATTCCCGTGGAGAGAAGTGCACACATGACAGGCTCCAGACGTTTGCTGCTCGGCTGCATTTGTCTTGATATCTGCCTTGTTTTTGAACAAGGTACTCCAGTGCTCCGTGGCATCCCGACGTTGTCCACGACGGTCGGACATTTCTCGCCTGCCTCAACACGCTGAATAGCCTTCAACTTCGCCGCAATATCAAGGGTTTTGTGCTTCTTGACGCTGGCCATAGCTACTTGAGAAGTCGACAATTCAAAGAGTTCACAGCGACTTTGCACACCACGCATGCGAAATAAGAATGCTGCACATGCAGTGGTACGTTGGCGTCGCGACAGCGGAAGCAACAAAGCGCTTGCGAGCCGATGGCCACCTGCGAGGGCAAAAGCAAAAGGCGTGAGCTGTGTGTGGTTAGCTGATCAACACTCGCAAAACAGCAAAATAAATAAAATAAAAAAAGGCGAAAGGAGGAGGAGGACGCTCCTTCGTTTTTGCTCTTCAAACTGACAGGTATGCGGAGAAAGCATGAAAGAGAGAAAGATAAAAGTAAAAAAAAGCCCTTCCGCAAGTTGGAGATTGTGTCGTCCGAGCCCTCTCGCCCTTATTTTCTTTAGAGCGTTTGGGGTTTTGGCAGAGGTCGCTGCTGCAAGTGCCAAAGCGTGCCTTGTACGAGATCATGCAGGGGGGGGGGGGGGGGGCGAGTGTTGAAGCGCACCTTCCAGCTCGTGCGGCGTTGGATATATCCGAAGGCGGGTAAAAGTATCATTCCAAATAAACGTGCGAATTTCTATACTTTTACAAAGGAATTTCAAGTATATAACTTGCGAGTTGGATATACCCGAAAATTCGATATATGAGTTGAATATAACTGTGTTCGACGGTAAAGGACAAGAATTAAGCATGCCTCTTATAAAGGGGTTCAACTATATTCTACTGCATTTCAGCCAGCGTTTCCATCCACCCCACAGAAACAGGCAGAAGACCACAAAATAACGCTGGTCAACAAAACAACGCCACTCGCAACCTTGGCGATTTGGCTTGCTCAGGGACGTCATGCGCACGTGACCGTTTGCTCCAATGCCGGAGAAGATAGGGAAAAGATTTGGCTTGCGAAGGCTACCGTAATTACTCGAATCTAACGCACACCTTTTTTCCGGTTAAGCGAGTTCATAAATCGCATGCGCGTTAGAATCGAGTACGAAAAAAAAATGAATACGGTCATTCTATTGCCATCGGCACTTCCAAAATGGCCGCCCCCAACGTGCATCGGCATGGCGCGTCGGCCATTTCTGCCTATGTGTTTCCCATGTGCGCCACTTCGTACGTGTGCTGAGGAGTTCGTCATCTTGTAGTGCATTAGCGTCGATGGCATGGTAGGGCCAACTCCAAAAACTTGATGAGTGCACCACAATGCCGCTTTTAAAAGAAAAGTCATCGCGTGTGCCGAAACGGACGGAAATGGGGCCGCATCGCGGTCGTTCGGAGTTCCCGAAACGTGCATGCGGGACTGGCAGAAACAAAAGCAGAATATTGTCGACAGCAAAGATTCCCGCAAAGGCTTCAGTAGACCACAGCAGGGTCGGTTTCCACAAATTGAAGAGCTGCTCGGCGAGTATGTGATTAAGCAGTGAGCGGCACAGCGGCCCGTGACGACAGAACTGCTCCAAGTGCAGGCTATGCAGTTAGCCTTAGAAAAAGGGCTAATGCGGAGCCAGTTTAAAGCGAGCAGGTGCTGGCTAACTAACTTTACGAAGAGGAAAGGCTTTTCCCTCCGAAAGCGAACGGGCATATGCCGGAAGTTGCCGGAAGAGTACGAAGAAAAGCTTCACAGTCTTCAGAGGTTCGTCCAAAACTTGCGGCACAACAACGGCTATCTGCTTGGGCAAATCGGGAATGCCGATCAGACGCCTTTTAACTTGGACATGCCTAGCACCACAACCGTCGAAAAGAAGGGGGCGAAGCAAGTTCGCGTGCTGACATCGGGCCACGGTAAAACTAGAGTGACAGCAATGCTCCGTTGCACGTCAGATAGGCACAAGCTTTCTGCGTACCTCATATTTGAACGGAAGACGCTCTCGAAAGGGGTCGTTTTCCCGAGTGGTGTGATCGTGCGGGCCAACGAGAAAAATGGGTGCACGTTGCATTCGATGTCTTAGTTTTTTTTTTTTTTTTTCGTCGTGGAAACCGGGCGCGTGTTACAATTGAGGGTGCGGTAGAATCAAGTAAAACGGTACGTGGGGCGAGCGGCAAGTTATTCGAGCTAGCCTCCTCGCATCTGGTTTTGCGCAGCTTCGAAACAGCGGTTTTCTCAGGTTGTAATGAGCCGAATGAAAAAATTCTTGTGGCATAAGCTCTTCTTCACACACAACTGCCAGCGTCTAACTAGAATTCATTATGGGGCCAGGTGAGGGGCCCTTTAAAACTGTCTAACCCAGATGCACGCCCATTTCTTCAATATAGCTGTAAAATATCTGTACTATTCAACGTGTTTTCATGATATTTTTAAAGGTGTTCGATTATGCACAACTGAAAAAAATTATAAGACCAAGTTCTGTCACTCCTGTAATTTGTCAGTTAACACTTTTTTGGAAGTATGTCCATTTACTTACAATCAATCTTCAAGGAATAGTAAATTTACTTACAAAAAACAGGAATATGGGCTCTAATCAACATATTTGCACAGCACAAGACAACGAGTAGTTACAACATAACTACAGAAGAAGAGACAAGGACAGAAAAAGCGCTGACTTCAACTGAAATTTTATTAGCGACAACGTTGGAAATGCATACTCGTGACAGAACATCACCGCGCATTCGCGCAACCTATTGCATTACAGCAGATGCACGGTGATGTTCTATCACGAGTATATATATTTCCAACGTTGTCACTAATAAAATTTCAGTTGAAGTCAGCGCTTTTTCTGTCCTTGTCTCTTCTTCTGTTGTTACGTCGTAACTACTCGTTGTCTTGCATTGTGCAAATATGTTGATTCCCAGTCACCAACTAGCCCAAGCATCTGTCTTGGCTCTAATGTTGCCCTTCCCCTTAGCAGCATTTTTTTCTAGACAGGATTGACGAAATAATGAATATTTGGCAGCAGTGGCAACAAGGATAGTAGGATATGTGAATGATTTTTTGATGTTCAACAATCTTGGTTGTTTGGAACACAAAGTTTCCAATGTTTTTCAACTGTCTGATTGATTGACTTGTAGGGTTTAACGTCCCAAAACCACCATATGATTATGAGAGACGCCGTAGTGGAGGGCTCCGAAATGTCGACCACCTGGGGTTCTTTAGGGTGCACCCAAATCTGAGCACACGGGCCTACGACATTTCCGCCTCCATCGGAAATGCAGCCGCCGCAGCCGGGATTTGAACCCGCGACCTGCGGGTCAGCAGCCGAGTACCTTAGCCACTAGACCACCGCAACGGGGCTTTCAACTGTCTGAAGATTACTGTCATGGCTTAAAATTGACAGCAGAACTACCGAAAGGAAAAAAAAAATACAGTTTTTAGATTGAGCTCAACCTATTACAACTATACATTACGATTGTAGCAGGAGAGCAGCAAGGTAGTTACAGCAAGAATGAAATGAACTCACGGCTGCAGGTCAATTAGCAGCTCCAGCCCTGTCGTATCAGACTCCCCATCTGCATATGGTACGCAGCACATTTTCATATTTATATAATGTATATGCACACATAACATGAAGGCAAGGAATACAATACACAATCCTTGGCTTCATGAACATAAAAAGTGCTTTTTTTTTTTCAAATTCTTGCTAGAAATGCCTGCATTCTGATTAGGTTGGTATTCTTCAAACTAAGCACTTGTTCAATAATGGTCAAAATGAAGCCCTCTAGCGCAACACCTTTAAAAGCCTCCTTACCTCGCCCCTTTCCTTTTATGAGAAATAAAACTCCATCAATCTATTAACTATTTTACTGGTATCAAATTCCAGTTGTAGTGACATCTATATTCATTTAGAAATTGTAAGGCATGGGTGAGAGCAGGTTACTTTTCTACACTTGGGCATGAGGCGAGCTTGTGACATTTTCTTTCCAATACATTTAGGCAAATACTGCTGAAGGATCACAATAAAGTGCAAACAAGGACCTGTGGGTAATAATTGTAAATACAGGCACATAACAGTTAGGGCTCACCTGGCATTGGGCTGTCATAATGCACTTGAAGGACTAAATATCTCACAGATGTTTGTTGGCCAACTTGGAATCCCACACCTGCAAAAGAAAAGAAAGAAAATTCACAAGCGGAACAAGCCTTGAAACATTTGTCGTACTATTTTCTCTTGTCTTCCCTTTATTATAAAAAAATTGTTGTAGAGCATGTTAAAAGACAACCCCGAAGTTGCACAGACTTAAATAGAGAAATGTAGAAATGGAAAGTTTTGCAGTACAATCGCACACTGTGCTTTGTCTGTAGCGTGATACCACAGTAGCCAGAAAGTTACTCTATCACGAAACATAAAGTATGAACAATTATATTTGCTTTTTCTTTAATCTCAAGCTTCTCAAGTATAAGATCATGATATGAGTCAGCTTCTACAGTTTAGCTTTAAATTTGGATAGACATATACCCATTCTACTAGCAACCACCAAACCTTCCCATCTTAAACTGGCAAATCAACAGAACTGACAATTAATATCAAAAACAACAATAAAAGTGTCCTGAAACTTTAGCCAATTACAGTGGGCAGCCTAGATTCTGACTTGCATAGATCAAAGCTTGTAAAGATCAAACAACTACTTTGATTGTTCTATCACGTCAGGGGTGGAAAGAGTTTGGAAGAACGCACTATATTCTACAAAGGGTTTATCAATGCAGGCTCAAAGTTTTTGCGTCCACCTTATGTGCACTTACAAACATTTCAAGATAGTATCAAGAGTGGGGAATGGAAATAAACGTAGCCAAAACTTTGCACATGGTAGTAGAAGCTCCCGACAACATGCGAGCCAAACATTGTAGCGCAGCACGCGGCCTGGAATTCATAATAAATTATCAAATGCAGCTAAAAATTGCTTTCCCTTTTCTCGACAAATCACAGAAGGTGCTCAGAAATCACTCGTGGGAAGCCCATCTATCAGCCATTGGCTGATTTGAAAATGGTGCCCTCGGTCGTTACAAATACCGCCATGGGAGGCTGCGACTTGTCCACGCGTGTGCGCGCGATCACCCTGAAAAAGTCGCGCACCGATCACCCTGAAAAAAGCTATGAGGCGCCTGTGACGTCTTTTTTTGCCCCTCCCATCTCTCCCTGCTTAGTTTTCAGCCCTTCCGTCGGAATGCAATACAAATACAACATTCGTTGCTAGGCCACAACAAAATTTACAATCCAGAACAGCGGCACGCATTTTGACGCCCACACCCACACGTCCACGCCAAATAACCATCCAGCTCGTATGATATTTCTGTGCAGCCACAGAAATATCATACGAGAATATCATATAATATATCATAGAATGTCCATCCATTCATCCATCTAGCCGCCTACTACATTTAGCTCTCCTGGCCATTTCCATATTGATATCGATACCAAACTTGGTATGACTTAAACGTAAACATTTTGACAGCAATCTGTCTGGCTGGGTAGAAAAGTTTAGAAAATTGAAATTGCTTCAGCCACAGTTCAAATATAGCACGACGTTTCGAGACCGACTCGGTCCCTTCCTCAGGGGGTGACTGTCTTGGTCCATGACCAAGACAGTCACCCCCTGAGGAAGGGACCGAGTCGGTCTCGAAACGTCGGGCTCTATTTGAACTGTGGCTGAAGCAATTTCAATTTTCTAAACTTTCCAAACTTGGTATGGCATAACATGACTGTATGAAGAAAATATTTGAGTAGTCATAACATGAAAATCATGACATGTATGTTATGAATGTCATGGTTTACATTTCATGATCCTGCAGCTCTTGTCGTGCTTTCGTTCACATGGCATGTTGCCAAACTGGCATAGTATGTCATGATTGCATGGCGAACACAAGCGACAAACCCTAACATGAAAATCACGACATGTGTGTCATTTAACAACATGACTACATGCCACACTCATGATGCACTCGCGGCCATTTCGCTAGCGTGACATGCACCATATTTGGTATTACAGTACGTGAATGGATGACGAAGGTATGTGACTGGTGAAAACACGATAATCATGAGATGCGTGTCATGTAAGAACATGACTACATGCCACGCTCATGATGCGCTGGCGGCCGTTTCGCTAGCTTTACTTGTACCAAATTTGTTATTACGAGACGTGAATGGATGATGTAGCTATGAAACTGGTGCAAACATGATAAACATGAGATCCGTGTCATGTAACAACATGACTACATGCTACGCTGATGATGCCCTTGAGGCTGTTTCACTAGCCTCACATGTACCAAACTCGGTACTATGTGACGCGAACGGAAAACATAGGTAAAAGACACATCCAAACATGATAATCATGACATGCATGTCGTGTAACAACATGACTACATGCTACACTGATGATGCGCTCGTGGCCGTTTCGCTAGCTTCACAAATGCCTAAGTTGGTATTACGTGATGCCAATGTATGACGGAGGTATGTGACTGATGCAAACATGTGTCATATGAGAATATGACTACATGCCACAATCAAGCTGCCAATAGATTTCGTCGTGACGCGACACACATGCTCGCCTGCGTTAATTTTGTCGCGTCATGGCGGCGTTGCCACGCCAGGCACCGGTCCTGCTATATACTCGCAAGGGCGCGCTGCGTTTCTTTGACGCATGAGCATTTCAGCGCGTTCGGCGTCCCTCCGCCTCGAAAAGAGGGAGACGCAGTGTTGTCTGGGTAACGCATCGGCGCGAAATGCGGCGTGTCGCATTTCGCGCTGGTTGCCATCAGGCCACGCTGACGAACGCTGGCGTCAGACTATACAGTGCTCACGTTTCGCTGACGCAGCGTCGCTGTGCCCAGCGTGTAATCAGGATAATCCTGACACGCGTGTCATGTAAGAACATGACAACATACCACGCTCAAAGGGTGCTCGCAGCCGTTTCTATAGCTCCAAATATACTAAATTTGGTATCACGTGACCTGAATAGATGATGAATGTAAATGATATAACCAAACATGATAATCATTCATTATTTATTTTATTTTATTTATTCAATGATTACCCTGCTTAGCCCGAAGGCGCTGCAGCAGGGGGGTTACAATGTCGAGAAAAGCACATCTTCATTAATACAGCACACTTGTTCATTTGATAAGCGATTCCATTCTCTAATGGAACCAACAAAAAACGAATTAGCATACAAATTAGATCTGGTACGGTACTCTAAAATCTTGAAACAATGATCATTTCATGAAGAGCTATAATGAGGACTGTGAAGGTACTTTTCTTTTCGAATGCCGGCTTTACCATGAAATATCTGGTACAGGAGCTTTAGCCGCAGTTTCTTTCGACGCGATGAGAGTAATTCCCACCCTAATTCATTTTTCATATTGGTACAACTGTCATTTCTTGAGTACCGGCTTAGGACAAATTTTGCAGCTCTATTTTGTATTTTTTCAAGTTTGTAACTTAAAGTACTTTGCCATCATCGTGGTGCAAAAGTCATATATGGCATCATTTACTTCCACCTCGTAACGCTGTGCTGGTTTTAAAGTGACATATCAACATTTCTTATTAGTGCTTTGCATGTCATCAATTCCCACTGTACGTGGGATCTGCCAATTTTTTCATCCGGTATTCTACGTTATTAGGCTAGCCGTAGATGTAATACCACTACATATATTTGACTCCCAACTGAAGACCACAGTCTACTACTATATCTATTTACCAGAGTTTTAAATACTACTCTAAAACGCCAACAAAATATTGTCACGATGTCAAAACAGAGGTCTTGCCGGAGAAATCAACACACCAGAAGCAGGTCAGTCTTTTTAATAGAACGCGTAAACGAGCTATTCTTTTTCGTCCATTTCATAGTCCTTCATGGCACATGCACAACTGCCATTGTCTTTCTTAAGCAAGCACGTGACATTTGCCTTCCTCCGAAAGAGGCATCATCTTGATGCGCAACTTAGGTGCTCTACCAGGCGTATGGAGTGGTTGTGCCAACACGTTAACCGGGACCTAATTAACACGATAAATACGATTTCATACGCACGACATGGACGACTTCAGATAAATGCTTTTGGCGCTTTGAACTACAGTCAGTGTCGGGAACAACTTCGTAGTTCACGCCGTTCAAGCGTCGCGTGACACTGCATGGGCCAAAGTACCGTTTTAGCAGTTTTTCAGAGAGTCCACGTGAACGTATCGGCATCCAGACACAGACCTTGTCGCCTGGTGTGTAGCTAATGAACTTGTGTCAGGGGTCATACTGTTGTGCATCTTGATGCTGTTGACAACAGATGCGCACACGCGCGAGCTGTCTGGCTTCCTTGGCGCGCTGAGTGAATTCTTAGGCGTCTACATAGATGTCGTCGCACTCACGCGGCAACATGGCGTCCAACGTTGTCATGACTTCGCGACTATAGATCAGACTGAACCGTGTCATTCCGGTGTGTTTAGTCAAGCGGTACTATAGGTAAAGGTCACGTACAGCAATATTTGATCCAAGTTTTTATGTTTCGTGTCAATGTACATGCTGATCATGTCTGTGAGGATCCTATTGAGGCGCTCGCGTCAGTCCGTTTGTCTGCGGATGGTATGCAGTTGTTCTCCGGTGAGTTGTACCGCTGAGTCTGAGAACTGACTCCAAAAGCTCTGCGGTGAAGGCAGGTCCTCTGACTGTGATCACTTATGTCGGAGAACCCATGCCGAAGGACGATGTTTTCAATGAAGAACTGAGCGGCTTCTGCCGCTGTGCCACGCAGCACAGCTTTAGTCTCCGCATAACGGGAGAGGTAATCGTTGGCCACAATAACCCGTCTGTTTCCTGTTGTGGAAGATGGAAAGGGACCCAGGAAATCCATTCCAATCAAGGTGAATGGCTTCTCTGGTGCTTCGACTGGATGTAAAAGATCGGCTGGCTTGCTGGGAGGCACTTTGCATCTTTGGCAAACGGTGCAAGTTCGCACCTGATGGTTAACAGCAGCAGGTAAGTTTGGCCAGTAGTACTTGCATCGCAGTCGGCACAATGTTCGGATGTAGCCTAGATGACCAGAAGTAGCTTCATCATGACACGCTTCCATAATTTCTTTTCGAAGAGAGGCAGGCACAACGAGCAAGTGCAAGTTGCCG